CCTGTCTATGGCTTTGAAAATGTTAGCTGCAGACTCTCCCTGTATTCCACCCACTCTGCTTTTGAGTCCCTTTTCTGCTGTAGGTGCTACTGAGGGACAAGCACTAGACCAAAGAAAAATTCGTCTTCACTAAGAAGTTGCCTTTCATTAATGGTAAGAGTTCTGAACTTTTTTGTTTGGCACTTTGCTAAGATCAAATTAGGGAGCGTAACTGTTGTGGTGGTTATCATCGTTGTTGTAATTGGTGCTGTTGTTACCATCATCATCACCACCATCACAATATAAACTCTGAAACAAAGATGCTCTTCAAGCAAGTAACCTGCAATTGTTTCAATCTAAAAGTCAAATTCCAAGTTCAAACATTCTGAAAAGATTAAATCACAAAGTGACTAAAACTTCAACGGGGGAATCATCCCTTAACAGAGAAAACAAATCCTGTCATAAGACATGATGTTAGTGAAAAATTCCTCGCAATCCAAACAGTCTTCTCATTCTTCCAAGTCTTAACACTGTATTACATTTGATATCTGACATACCTATTTTGCAGGTATTATGTCAATAGTTATAGGAACCACACACTTCCAGATATCTGATACGTTCCTTAAATTACTCTGGATTTTTACGATCTTCAGTCAAATGTAGTTAACCATTAGCCAATCATATGAGGGAGACTGTACACTTTGGCAGGTGTGTCTTTGTGTGTGTTTTCAGATTCTGCAAATGTTGAACTGGGTTGCACTTCTGCAGTTATCCAAAAGGTCAAAATACTGTCAACCCCCAGGGGCTAGAAGAACAGAAAAATTGCCTATCAAAAGGATACAGAATCTACCCTTCTCCCCTTCTTCACCAGGAAAATTCCCTTTTGCAATTGCTTCTAGAGGCAATATTGTGTCACAATTTTATCAGTTTGAAAAAAATGTCTCTGAATTTTTTTGTGTAGCCCTGTATAAGAAGACTTCCTTGCTGCCAACTCCATCTAACATTTCTGAAGAAAACAGTATGTTTATTGTCTATCAAACATCAAACAGTATGTATATTATCTATAGAATTTGAATTGAGTCAAAAGCATCCCCTCATCTTTTTTTTAGTGTAAATAGTGTTTGCTCCCCCAACACCTATAGAGAGCTGAGGGAATGGCCTTGAGGGACAGGAAGAAGAGACGCTACCAAGGCAGCAGTCAGATAAGAGGAACCTGAGGGGAGGCCAAGAAAGTGACTTGAGAAAATGTCCTAGACAAGCCCCTCCACAGTTGACATAAAGATAAAGGAGGGAGAGGGAAGCACATGCAGACTTGTACAATAAATGTAGTACTGACCTATGTGGCATTGGTTTCTTAGTCTGATGTGCTGCTCCTTTAAAAGCCTATAAAAATAGCTACTGACAATATGATACCGAAACAGCAGCTGTGCCATCATAACATTTGGCATTGATAAGTCACACTTTCACCTGAGAAATATTGTACCTTGGCCATTTCTAAGATGTCTCCATTGTCCACTGGAGGTGGGCGTCCACACGTTTCCCCAAGATCTACATGAGATAGAGAATCTATTGAGAAATACCTATCATGATTAGTGATATTATAGTGTATCCATGCAAATATACAAATAAACACATACTGACATACAAAAATGTTTATAAGCTTATTTTGTTCAGCCGAATAATAAGGAATTACATCACAAAAAATATTAGCTTTTTTTTATAAAATGGTACTCCTTGTTTAAGTGATGGACAGAGAATGATCAATCCATTGTCGTTTGTGTACTATAAAACGTACACCTTTGTCACTTTCTTAGTACTTTGATCAGACCTGTGGAAAAAAATGAATGGCAATTGCTTTGGCATTAATGAGATCTCATTGCAGGGGTTTCTAAATTTTACCACCCATCTTCTGTTCATCATGGTTCAAATCCAAGTTGTTAACAATGGATTTAAGAGAAGCTTAGGTTGTTGTATGATGTTAATATACAGTTAATTCTTTCTAAATTTTACCACCCATCTTCTGTTCATCATGGTTCAAATCCAAGTTGTTAACAATGGATTTAAGAGAAGCTTAGGTTGTTGTATGATGTTAATATACAGTTAATTCCAAGAAACATGTTGGGCAAATAAGCCCGTCAGCAGTAATGTGCAGTTTCAGAGAGCTCTGGAGGAAACAGCTAATCCGGTCATAAGGCAGTCTGGCTTCAGACCTGAGGTATGAGATGGAAACGGAACTGGTTATTCTCATGGGAGACTTGTGGAGGGACTTGGGTGGAGCCTAGCTGTCTTTGCCCTCCTAGATCTCTCAGCAACTTTTGATACTGTCAATCACAGTATCATTTTGAACCACCTGCAAGGGTTGGGAATTGGGGGATCATGTTTCAGCGGTTCCACTCCTACTTGAGGTTACACACCCAGTTCCTAGTGGTGGAAGAGAAGTCAGACCCTCAGATGCTTTGTCATGGAGTGCCCCAGGACTCGGTTGTTTCCCCTATGCCATTTAACTTCCACTTGAAACGTCTGGGACGGGTCATCCATCAATATGCTGATCACATCTCAGTTGTACTTCTCCATGCTAGGTCCAGTGGGAGATGCAGCAGAAGGCCTGCTCCGGTGCCTGAACATAGTCAGAGCCTGGATGAAGAAAAACAGGCTGAGACTCAACCCAGACAAGATGGAATGGCTGTCAATTCAGAAGTATATCCTTCTTATTCCAGGATTGTATCACATTTGACTGATGATGTGTTCTGCTTTCCCAAAGAGAGCAGTTTCATAACTTGGGGGTTCTTCTGGTTTCACAGCTCCTGCACAAAGAGTAGGTGGAAGCTGTGGCCAAGGAAGCATTTGCCAGTGTCGGCTGACATGTCAGTTGTGGTTTTACCTGGAACAGGATGTCCTGAGGACAGTCCCTCATGCCCTTTTCATCTCCCAATTAGATTACTATAATTCGCTTTTCACATTATGCAAAGACCTGACTCTCCTGAGAAATCGACAATGCTGGGAAAGGTGGAAGGAAAAGAAAGAGGATGGTCAGAAGCAAGATTGACTGGCTCAGTTAGAGTGGTAATGAGTGCCTGTTTGGAAGATCTGAAGAACCAGACTGAGGACAGATTTTCCTGGAGAAAATCTGTCTTTCTGGTTGCTAAGGGTCAACACTGACTTGACAGCACATAATCTATCAATCGATTTGCCTCTGTGGGATGACCATGATCACTTGGTAATTCATTAACATTTACAGAAATACGCTCTTTAGAAAAAAGTCATTCCTCTATCTTTAGTTGTTTAAAAACTTTCCATGGTCTCTATCACCCGAGGCCACTTCTTGCTCTCTTCTTTTTTCCCATGAATGACTTATCCTGACCCATTTGTGTTATGGAGATTTGTATTCCTATATCTTTTCCCAGCTAATGTTATTACTTTTATGCTACTGTAG